TTATTAGGTTGGAGGCCATCGTTATTAGGTTGGAGGCCATCGTTATTGGGTTGGAGGCCATCGTTATTAGGTTAGGTTGGAGGCCATCGTTATTAGGTTAGGTTGGAGGCCATCGTTACTAGGTTGGAGGCCATCGTTATTAGGTTGGATTTACGTTTTTTGTTCGTGATGCCTAAAGCGGTGCTTGTGACAACCTTGCGTAGTGGTACCGCTCGTCGACCGTGCGAAGCTGTGAGGATCGCTACTTCGGGACCTGTTGCGCGGCTGACGAGCCAAGCCGGTTGTTGACGGGGAATTTGCTGCCTGGATGGAACAGGGGATTGGGTGAGCAGGTAACGTACAATAGCCAATAGTCAGTACTTTAGTACAGAAGCTGATTCCGGCCTGAGGGCGGAGCGGAGCAGCATACTTGAAGACCGGTTCCGAAGTTTTTCGGGCAACTAGCAGCAGCAGCTAAAAGGTTTTGAGCAATCGTGGGTGATGTGTTTCGTTTTTTTGGGAGATAGAAGAATCACAAAGAAATTGGTCCATGTTGTGGTGGCAAATTGCAAAGGGATGCAAAGGGACTCTCCGATTCTAAATGAAATCCCATGCACCTCAGGATCCCCGGCGGTCAGTGCTACATAGCCACTTGTTGTGCCCAAACATCCCACACGATGTAATACATTTTTGCTAAAAGTGCAAGGTGTAAGGTTTACCATATCTACAAAGGCATTGTGCATGTGATAACACAAATTCTTACATTTTTGTTCTTGTAGGGTGGCATCACTGTGTTACAACAGTTGCATGGCTTGAGCGAGCCATTATCGCTTTCATGACCTTGATCAGCAATGCTGAGATCCAGAGCACTGACAACTAATGCCCATACCAGTGGAGCTGTAAGACAGCAGGGGAGACTGCTTTTTAGGAACCAAATGAAGAAGCGTGAGCTATCCTGCGTCCTACCTAGAACTTACCTCCTCACTTAATTAACGGGGGCAGAGTGGCCTAAAAAAAGAGGGAAACTAACGACAAATAGTAAGAAGGGCATTACTACTAGGAGCCAGGACGCTACTAGTAGCTGCTGGCCTTACTACTGGTAGCAAGAAGCTACTAGTAACAAGGGCATCGCTACTAGTAACAAGAAACTACGGTCTTCAGTGCCTTCAGATTTTCTCGCACCATTCAAGCGGCCGAGGTCTTCCCTCAACAGCGAGAAAGGATCGAACAGTGACCGTGCGAGCAACGGAAATGGAAATGGTAATCTTTAATTCAGTGAGCCAAGATCCTGTGAACCACGTGTGAACAAAGACTCTCTTCTTTTGGAAGAGAAAGCAGAAGGGGATGATTTTTGAAAATCAAGATGTAGGGCAGGCCGCTGCCATGAAGACAATCCCTTACTTAGGTTTGGGAACATACGAGGCAATGTCAAGTTTTAGTGAAGGGGCATGTAAAGGACCTGTGTTGATCTCACAAACTTGCATTTTCTAAAGACCAATTCATCATAATTCATCCCCCCGTGGTTGGAATCTGGGGATCCTAGAATGCTCACACAACGCGGCTTCGTAGTATCCAAGTCGAGAATCGAAGCTTTGTAGCTGGGAGTGCGTCACCCGGTGCTACGCAGTTCATGCGGTGCTGACCCGGCGATACTAGGAGCAAAGGGCATCGCTACGAACGGAGCGATCGGACGCTACGAACGGGGCTCCTGGCCGTACTACTAGGAACAACCGAATTTAGAGTATACCGAAGCAAAGCCTCGGCGGCTGTCACGAATTTGATCATTGGGAGGTCGCCCCATGAACAGTATGAGTATCAGTATGAGCTAAACCGGACATATCCTCCTCTTAATCGCCTTGCTCTTTTGACTTGAAAAGTGACCTAGGACTACTACTTCATTTCTGGGACTTGGCTACTCGGAGACTGCGAAACATTGCATCAGTTGCAGTGCCGGCGGTGCGGCTTCGGAACACCCCATCGATTTGATGCGAAAGCTGGACGAATGCCGTGGGAAAGACCTGTAGAAAAGGACTTTGTTGATCCTAGTAGCGAACATTGTTTCTAATAGCAAACATTGTTACTACTAGTAAGGCACTTGTTACTAGAAGCGATGCACTTGTTCCTAGTAGCGATGCACTTGTTACTACTAGAATTCAGGGAAACACAGGTCTTGGACCCTTGCGAGCAGCTAGCAAACATGCTACTTCATGGTGCTTCCTCAAATACCCCATGCTAATAAGAGCGCTTTCTGAAAGGCATGTTCTTTTTCTTGGCAACTTGATTTACCTTCTGGCTCCTGAATTTGGTTTTCAATTTTTCACACCTGAGCTTCTTCTCAAAAGGAAAAAGCTGAGTCTTTCAATGCCATTCCACCAACATCGCATGCTGGTCTTCGAAAACCGGTCAAAAGCCTTGGCTCCAGATCACTCACTACTCAGTCACTTTAAACTCCTTTCGCACAGTTCGATGGTTGTTCGGCTGTGAAAAAGGGTCCAGCCGACCAATGCTCTGGAGCTGAAAAGGACGTGCTGGAAGGTGGGCCTGGTGTAGAACTCCGACACATAAGGGTATAAGGTTCATAGTAGAAGAATGTTTGGATGTTCACAGTTGTGCTCTGGAAGATGTTTGGATGTAGTTTGCTGCTTGGGGCATTGTTGAATCGTTCTTTCCCCATGTTAAGGCATGTAAAGGATTGTTACAATTTACATGCATCACGAGCATGTAAAGTACGTTTATATAAGTTTTTCCGAAGACACGTGAAGAGATGGACATGGGATCTCAAAACGGCGGTTTTAGTCCAACAACGGTAATACACAAAAAAAACGATAACATACACCAAATCTTGATGTCCTTTGATCTAGTGCCTCAGCTGCTTTGCCTGCGGGTTTGTCTGCCCCCCTGTCGATCTTGTCGTTCTTGTCCTCGTGTGTTCTCTTTTCAGTTTCTTGCTTTTGTATGTCTTTGTCTCTTTCCTTTTTTGTCTCTTTTTTTTTCTGGTGCTGGTGCTTCGATAGTAGCTGTGGCTATTTCCAGCTTAAGCGTGAAAGAACCACTGAATGAAAAGAAGCTCCGATAGGCACTGCATCAAAAGGGGGTCTTCCGACCCCCAACAAGCAAAAGCCGAGTGGCAAACTCGAAGTAACGGCAAGGCGACCCAGGTCACTAGTCGAAGACATAGGAACCAGGCTGCGAACAAAACACTACGTAACAAGAAGCTACTAGTAACAAGTGCATCGCTACTAGTAACAAGTGCCTTACTAGTAGTAACAAGAAGCTATTACTTTACTTTAAACTTAATTCTAATAGCTTCTTTGTTACTACTAGTAAGGCACCTGTTACTAGTAGCGTGGCACTTGTTACTAGTAGCTTCTTGTTGCCAAGTTGCAAAGTTGCCAACTCTGCATGGAGTCCTCGTCCGACTCAGATGACGACTCCATCACGGCGCGCCGCTACAAACGTGACACGCCATCGTTTTCATTCGCCGTTTAGAGTACTGGTTTGGTGCTATGTGGTCTCAAGACCATTCCAAATGGATTGGTTGGACTGATTCAAAAATATACTTGTCTTCTTGGAGGCCATCTCTAGTAAAGTAGGTTGGAGGCCATCGCTAATAGGTTGGAGGCCATCGCTACTAG